GAGTTAAAGGAGTTTTGGAGAAAAAAGTGATTCAAAAATTTGCTACTCCCTTCTCTGGCAGTTCCCTGGATTCAAAGTGTCCCTGGTCTGTGGCACAGATGGGCAGCAGGCTGGAGAGGAAAGCAGCACTGGTTTTATTGTCATTCCAGTGCTTGGTGCTGTTGATGTTTGGTGCTCTAAATGTAGGTTTTTGAGAGGGGAGGGAGAAGCATAAAGTTAACTGGAAGGGTAGTACTTTGACCATTTGGAACACAGAGCAGGCTGAGGAGAAGGAATAAGATTAAAAGAAAGAAAATCCTCTTAATCTGGGTGATGTCAGCTTGTCATTGTCAGTTTGGTGGTTCTGTAGCTGCAAGCCTGCTTTTGCCTGCTGTGTAAGGAGAAGATCATTAATTGAAAGGCACGGCAGAGTGCAGCATGCTTAGGGCTTTGAGGTGTTGACAGGCTGCCACCGCCCAGAGTAACTGCAGAGAGCGTGTCCAACACGAGGTACGGTTCTAAGAACTAAAAAACCTGTCATCCAGCGTGTCACCCTTGAAGGCAACGTGTGGCAGACAACCTAAAACTTCATTGTTTTCTGCCTCCCCAGCAGCTTCATGCGTATATCTACCTTCTCCTTAGTGTGACCGTGAGGTGAGAATCCGTGTAACACAGAGATTGGAAAAACTGGATGTGCAGCAGTCCTGGCCTGAGAAGCACTGGAGCACCTGTAATGGTGCTGGGCATGGCAGAGGGGAGGAGTGGGTATGGGGCTAAGGTGTATGGACCCCTGGCAGGACTGAGTTTTGAGATGTGGAGACAATATTGTGGGTTGGAGAGTGTGGGACTGAGTCAGGTAAGAGAATGTGAGAACACACTCACTATGTGGCTGCTAAACAGGGAGCAAGGAAGAATTTTTCTGTTTGTGGCTTAAGGGATGGAGCAGCAAGTGATGGATCAGGTAGAAAAGAATCTGGTTGGGCTGTGGTGTAATTTGTACAATATACTCTCAGCTTACAATTTATCCCAGACCTTTCTGGAAATGTCCTTGGAATTTTTCAACAGTGCTTACAAGTATCTGATAGTCACTGTGCTAAGCTCACTGCCCAAGAGCACTGACAATTTGCCCCCTCTCCTTTGTCATACACACCTGCAGATTTAATTCTTCTATTTTGAAATATACTTTCCTGTCCGGTGAAACAATGTGTCTGTTCTGCCATTCTCATGGAGATGAGATGCAGTGATATCACTTCCCAGTGAGGGACTGGTGAATCATTTTGATGGTGTTCATGAATCACTCCTTTGCTACCAGTTTCTGCATTGGTCTTAATATAATATTCAAAACCAAAAATCGTAATTTCAGGGACTCTTAACTTTTTGTTAAAGGGACAATACTGTCATTGTCTCATTGAATACTGTACTGAGCATGCTGCAGAAGTGCTCTCCCAAAGATATTTGTGTAGCTAAAGATGCTGACACCTATCCAATCGATCCCTGTGCAATGGTGGGGAGCTTGCTTGCAACAGGGTGGGGAGAGGGAGGGCACACGTTTGCCTCATGGGCTCTGGTGGGTGGTCTGATAGCTTAAAGTTTAAAGCTCTTTTGTGAATCAGATAACCTCCTGTACAGGAGCAGAAGCACTCTGAGCTGCCTTGGCTGGTGTGCAAAGGGTCTTCTGCTAGTTGAGAGCCTCTGATATTGTATAACCTGCCTAGGAAGTGTGACTGGTTGATCCTCAGCTTTGCACCTCAAGTGCTGTAAAGAAGGCAGAAAGCAGAAGAAAGTAGGTCCCTCAGAATTTCCTTGTTGAACCAGGGAGAAGAGTTGTGGTTGTACTGAGGCAATGGCAAAGGTCTTTGACATATATCTTGTTAGGCATTGGCACGGCTTTTCCCTGGGGAAAAAGGAGCTCATGGTGTGAATATGATCCTGTGAAGGTAAAGACACTCGTGGTTTATTCTTGGCAAGGCCTGTAGCTGCTTGAAAGTCGTCTTTATGACAGCACTAATCTTCTGGCAACTGCAGGGTCGGGGAGTTGCAGAAGAAGTGCAGAAGTGCCTTAGCACATTACCTTGTTTGATGGACCAAGTGTCCCTCCTCACAAAGATCCAGCCTGTTCCTCCAAGGAAGCACAGAGTGCTCTCCAGCAAGCCCACTGCTGCCCTCAGGGTATTTCCATGTTGCTTTGTCCTGACTGTTGCACCGTGCCCTTTTTCTGTGATGCACTGCACATGACCAGCTGGTATTTGTCAGGTGCTCCACAGAATTCAAAAATGAAACTTCTTTGGAGGAGGTCAGCGTGCTGTGCAGGACACATCCCGTGTGTGGGCTGCATCTGACAGATTCCTGTCACTGTCACCCAACAGGCCTGTCAAAAACGACAGCACCTGCCCATGGACTTCACTAACACAGTGATACCAGCCAAAATGGAAGTGTTAACAGCGTTGTTTGCCCCTGTGTGTTCCTTTTTGTAGCCCCTCTGCACTAGGAGTGGCATAGTGTAAATGTCTGGGTGGATGGCTACGTGTGTTAGGGTAATGATACCAGGCACCATTCAGCTCTCAGCAGTCAATGTGCAATTATTGCAATAGAAAAGCAGCACAGAACGTTGCTTAAGAGTTTTTCAGTATCAGTGACTTTCCTACCCACAGGAAAGTAAGGAGGTAACCTGTCTAAAAGTTTTGTCATTCCAAAATCAGTGCCAAGGATCAGATCTTCCTGATCCATGACTGGGAAGCTATGTTCTCACACTTGGGCTATACCTACATGCTTGAGATTTTTCTGTTACATTTCTCTTTTGTGATGGATGAAATCCCATTTTTATATCGCTATCTAAGGTTATTTGACTCTTCCTGCAGCCGTTGTGCATTTCACCTGTGTCATTAGCACTCCATAGCCAAATGCTGTTTTGTACCCAGAAGGGATTCTCAAAATAGCCGTTGCTTCACTCTCTCTCTAAGCTTGTCTGCATTCCAAGCCACTTAATTTTCCATGTGGTCCACTCCCAACCTCCCATTGTAAATTACTGCCCTCGTAACCCACAGTCTAATTTTTCTCACTCTATTCAGTGGAACTACTGACCACTGGTAGTAGCAGGTTATGCTGGTGTTATACCTGTGAGAATTCCCTGGTTGCCTGATTCGTACTTATTTTGTAAGGTTTGTAAGGCTTTTTGGTTCCCTGCTGCCCTGATTTCAAATATGTGACCTTGAAATTGGTTGTTTGAGCATGACTTCTACTTTCATTTGGAGTCCCCAGAGGATTGTAATTACAGCACTGCCTTGTGACTGTGCTGAATGAGAGCCCAGCTGAAATTCCCAGACTAAAGGATACGATAGCTTCTAGTAACCTTGGTGCCTTTCATATGCCTTTTCTTTTTCTAAATAAAACATTTTTACATTGTGTAGGGTCAGTCATTAAAAAAAAAAAAAAAGAGTTATTTCTTAGTTACCTATTAAAATTTAAGAAACAAGTGTGTCCTCTTCCCCCCTATGTACACACCTTCTCCTTCCCTATGATTTGCTCTTGTAAACTGATCATCTCTTTCCATTGTTATGGGAAAACATTTCATAGATACCATTTTATAGACAAAGGAAGGGAAAATCTAGCAACTTGTATGCTGCCTGTAGAAGCTCTGAGTCTAAATATGGGAAAATTAGCAAATGTGAAGTGCAGGCCAACAGTGAGGAGAAGAAAATGGAGTTATAGATACTAAAGACAGGATGAGATTGTTCAAAGAGACAAGAAGAAGGACAGAGAGTCCTTGGCAAGAGAGACCCAGTGGTATGGGCCAGCTTTATTTCCATTGAATTTGAGTGTTATCCCAAATTTATGGAGATATGACATCCAAAGCCTTCCCAGAGAGAGAGATCTTAGCCCAGAGGGCAGCATGGGATAAGGCTTAGAGCATAGGGAAGAAAAGGAGACACACCAGGATAAAAGGAGTAGGAAAAGTTGAGCAAGTGAGTGAGTAGGGAGAAAGAAAAGCAGAGGGATTGGGGCAGCCTGGGATAGTACTGTGTAAATGAAAACTGGGGTCTTGAGCAAAGTCAAAGGAAGTTTTCCCAAAAAATAACAGTATTTGCAAGCCCAGCACAAGAACTTGTATTTGACCTGAAGGTAGAGAGAATGACAGCATTTCTGCTGGAGGTTAGGTCTGCATTTGGAATTTCAAGCATTGTTTTGCTTGTGGAGTCCTTGCACAGTCCCATTTGTAGTGAGAGTGAGTTCCTGTCCTCAGCAGCAACACCAGCCGTGCATCTTTAGTAAAGCCATCTCCAGAGTGAAGGTTGGCTGGTGGCGCTGACAGTGGCTTTTTGGGAAGGAACACTGAGTGTGCCACAGTCACAACCTTGGCAGAATTATTTTCCGGCCAAGCACGGGGACTGTGTGTGCAGAGCTGTGTTGGATGACATCTGGGGCAGCAGCAGGGCAGACAGGCGTGCATGCTGGTGCTTGCATGTCTGCTGGAGAAGGTAGAGGTGTGCCTGTGCCACATGGGGAAATACTGGTACACAGTGAAACTCCCCTGAAAGCTCGAATTAGAAGATGAAATGTCATGCTATAAAAAAAGGTAATTTACTGGCAGAAGAAAAATATCAATGAGCTTAAGCAATTAACTTACCTTTCATCTTTCTAGATACTTTAACAGCAAGAGATTTAGAATTAATCTAGAAGAAACTGGAGTACTCTTCTGGAGGAAGAGTCTCTTACTTAAATTAGTTTAACCCTCACTTTATTATTGTTACTGGTCAAATTAATTGCTGACGTTGTCAGAGATCACAAACCCTTCCCAAAACTGATAATATTTTCTTAGGTGTCTTCATTTCTTGTAAGGTAAAGATATATTAAAAAAAAAAAAAAGGAATTTAGGTGGCTGTTTGTTGAACTGAGGAATCAAAACTGTATTTTCAGCACATCTTAGAGATCCATAGAGTCCATAGAATGTATCTATCTGAAATTTTATATGTATTTTAAGGTTTGCTCTTATTCCACTTGAGTTTTTTCCTCTCTTTTTTCAGTCATAGATTCAAAAATGTCAGGGGAGCCACAACTGAGCATTTCTTCAGTTCCCACCTGTGCTTTGGGTTGTGAAAGAATAACATAAGTACACAGAGATCTTGACTTCCTCTTGGGTGCATCTGGAAGATTTTATTAGGCAGTCCACTGTGCCTGTGATCTGTCTGAGAGCAGCTGATGATGAGCATCGCCAAGATATTTCACCGGGCTGCTGATAATTTTGTGTCTTTCAGAGGACTTGAAAAACTGGATTCATGGAACATCCACTCTCATAAACCACAGCCTCACCATGAGGACATCAGAGAAGCCACAGCTGTACTAAGTATCTTCACCAGCAATCTTTCACCCTCCGACAAATCTTTTCTTCTTGAAGGTGGGTGGTCTTCCCTTGTCCAAATTCTGTAAATTTGGTGCATCACTTTCTAGTTATGCAGCTGATACTTGTGTTTATATGAATGGCTGTTAAAAAAAAAAAAAAAGGAAAGATCAGATGTTTGTTGTTTCATTTCAACATAAATCAAACTTTGTACTCACATAGCAATTCTAGTTTAGCCCCAGGAATAGCTTTAGTATTGCTAAGTGTCTGGAGAGTATTGACTACAGAGACATGATTTTAAGCAGGGTATAATAGTTTCTACAGCTGTTAACAGTTCTCAGAAGAAAGGCAGTATTATTCATTGGTGTTTAAAATGTGCATGACTTGCATTGCACAGAAGTCAGATTGGGAGAATGTCAGAATTTTTTTTCTGAAATTCTGCCAGGAAAGTCTTCAATAACTGGAGAAATTCTTTTCACTGGTGAAATCAACATGCAGCACATTGTGTTATTATACTTGCTTATAGCTCACCATGAAAGTTGTCTTTGTATGCGTGGATGTACGGCTTGTACTGTTTTGTTTTTATTTATTCTGCATTCTTTATTATAATGTTCTTTCCTTTTTTTCCAGACCAGAAAGATTGTTATTGAGCCTTCCACAAAGCTGAAATAATGCTGTGTGTTAAAAAAATGTTAACAATTTGAAGAAGTTATAAAAATTTATAAGTTGACTGAATACTTTGGAAATTTCTGCATATTTTAATATAAATAGGTAATGCAAATGTTTGTTCTTTGCATTTGGAGGTGGGTCTCTGTTTTCTAAAGGTCTTGTATATAAATTTGATTCTTAAAATTACATTAGGACAAAACCAGTATTTTTTTCAGATTGGATAATAGGCAAAATGTATTCCAAAAGACACAGAACATACATGGTTATGTCTGAATGTCATATAGTAATGAAATTCGGTATAAATAGCATCAGTTGTTTGAATGACTTCATTAAGTGCATTTAGGGGACTGTCTGTTGCAGTCAGCTGAGGTCCTTCCATTCAGTTCCAAGGGTACTGGGTTGGCCCACAAGGAAAAGACCAAAAGGAGGTGATTACAGATAGTGTGAAGTTCCAGATTGTGCTAGTATAACTTTCGTAGAAATGCAGTCACATAAAATCAAAGACATCACAGAAAATGGAATTATTTCAGATGAATTTGGTGTGAGTGATGAGTTTGAGCTTTATTCGTAGCTAAAATCGTGGAACAGGACAGGTGAGTCCAAAAGGAAGAAAGGAAGAGTAGAAATAGGTGAAAGAGAAGAGGTGAGTGACAGGATACTGGCAGGTGGGCCAGGACCTGAATGATGACAGACAGTTTTAACAACTAGTCCAGAAGATCAAATGTTGAAATGTTATGATCCACTGGAGGTGCTGATTGGGTAAATGACTGAAAAGACAGGCGTCAAACTGCTTTTTGGAGGGGGTAGGGAAGGAAAGCAATGCAAGTTTTGGGTGGCTGTACCACAGAGTAGAAAGGGTTTGTTAAGTTTCCCTGGAGGAGAATGAATATCTTATACTCCAAGGCGATTTCTTCAAAGGCAGCTGTAGTGGCCACTAGGAGTGACCTGGAGAGATGCAGCTCTGGTGAGGTCCCCTGGCCTGCACACTGTGTGCAGCTGGGGTGCTTTGCCCGTGCTGCTGGGGTACCTCTTTTGGCTTAGTCCCATCTGAGAGGAATCCAGGCTGTTCTCAGGGACTGCACAGGAAGCAAGCGTGGTGTTCGAGGGGCTGGCTCCAGAGGCTCACTGCTGCTCCAGACTTGGGCACTGATGGACATGTGCCCTGTCCAACTGTGGGGTGGCAGTGGTGACATGGCACAGGGCAGAGGGAATACTCGGAATGTATTGTTCCATGTTGCAGGTGCTGGCAGCATGTGGAGCTGAGAGCAGTGAAAGCCCAAGGGAATACTGCACACACTGAAGAGGTCACCAGGAGCTGTTGTGCGGGGTAAGCCCTTCCAGAAAGAGAAAGGGAGAATGATTGATGCAAGCCTCTGTAGGAAAAATTGGTGCTATCTGAAGTTTACTGTGATTTGGTATTTCAGGATGGATTCCCTCCTGACATACTGCCTGTGAAATTTCGATAGGCCTAGAAGCCCTTTGTAACACCAGCTCCATTTGGAAGTGAGCAAAACTAATGCACAAGAGTGCCGGGCTTTTGAAGTCCAGTTTTTATAGATCCTTTTCTCAAGACATCCTGGAACATGCTTTGCTGAGTTGAAAGGCTTCCCTGGTCATTGACACCAGTGCTGTGAAATAACATTGCTGCTAGCTGGTGGTGTGCTCTGTAGAAAGCTGCTTATAATTTTCAAAGACTGCTCTCCAAATGGAATCACTAAGGTAAATGAGCCCTTCAAAACCTACATTCACAAAACTGCCTTCAGTTCAGGAAAGGGTGTTGATTCTTCAGTCTTTTGTGAGTCACTTCCACTGTAACATTCTCTGGAATCGTTCAGTTTTGAGTGTTAAAAATGGCTGGCTGATAATGCGGAGTTTTCATAGATAGAGGTATTCCCATGTTCCCTGTCAGTGCCACTTCACAGCATATTTATTCTCACACAGCCTGTTATGTAAAAGTACCATTTTACAGAGCAGAGGCACGGAGAGAATAAATGATGTAGATAAACCCGTGTAAGGAAATATGTTGCCGAGCTGGTCACAGGTTTCCTCAGCTTGCGAAGTGTAGCTGCTGGACCAGCTCCCCTCTTGTTCTGTGGTGTGTATACAGGTGTATCCCTTTCCCTCTGCAGGTCTTGGTCATTCCACCCAACGTGGACTGCAAAAAGGCTGCACAGCGTTCAGGTGAGTCTGAAAGCCAATAGGATTCTTAGCTTTAGTGACAGTGTTATGTCAAATAACATGATGGTCATCTGACACAAGTGTGTTTAGTGCCTGAATGTAGCATATTTCTGTATGACAGTACTTTGGAAACAAGGAGAGCAAAAAATGAACGAGGAGGTTATTGTCAAGAGCTATTCTCCTTCCTACAGGCAATAGGCACAACAGTTTGGCTTTTGTAGTTTGCTAAAATGATTCTCTAATAAGAATTTGGGCTTATGAAATGCGCCAGCACAACACAAACATCTCTACTAGATCTTGTCAGTAGTTGTGAAGATACATTTTAACAATTTTAGGATTTCCCAGACCTCTTTCAAAATGGCTGTGTTGCCTCACTAAATGCACCGACTATTATATGTCCTTGTCCAAGAACATTTGACCTTATTTGCTTCTGAGCAATATTTCCTTGGAACCTGTCAGACGATAAAAGGCAATCCAGAGAAGTCTGAACAAGTCTTAACTTCGAAACTGGCCATGTTCAATCTGTAAAGTATGTAGATTTCGCTTTTTTTTTCCTGGGGAAAGGCCTCAAAGGGCAATAGGTGCAGGATGTGGAGGGAAGAAGCAGTGCCCTGACCCTACAACATTTCTGCATGTTGAGTCAGGGAGTGACATTTAAACAATTTTCACTGTACCCGATATGAAAAACTATGATGCAGATCAAATTGCTGGCTGTGCTGAGAGAGAGATGAGGAGGAAAAAGGTCAAGGCACCTACCTATAGGTAGCCTCTCCTGTGTTTCTGATGTTGGGAGAGCTTGTGGGTCTTTATTGCCTCTTGTTTTTCCTTTTTTGTTTTTCTTTCTTTGAGGTAATGAATGGCTCTGGACTTTCCATCTTTAGAGCTGGTGGTTTCCACACCACAGTGATTCAGCCAGCATGAACTCTTGACCAAATCCCAGTTTGTTTCCTGGTTTTGTTTTTCTAAAATATTTTACATTTAGCAGGGCATAAAGGCCTCCCTACTATCTCAAAGGGCAGTTCTCTGTTCTTCTGAAAATATTACAACTGAAGCAATATAAAAGGAATCACTGAATTTTGACTGAAAGTCAGACTGAATTCTTCCATGCTCCTGGCTTGTTGATGCTTTGTGTTTATGTGGAGTCTCCTTTAAGTGTTATTAAGGTCTCGTTTTTATTTGAGAAATATGTCCTGCCTGGGCTTATGTTCTAAGTTTTAATCAGTTTATTATTGCATGGTAAACTCATGTATGTTTGTTTACTTGCAAGAGAAACAGATCAGTATTGCCAGTGATTTCAGGGATAGCAGGTTGTTAAATTAACATGAAGGGCCTTGTTCCTTTGCTT